TATATATTATTAAATATAATTTATAGTATTATAATACAATAAATATTTCTTATATAAGATATACAAAGAAATAATGTTTTGAAAAAATAATTATTTTTTACAAATATTTTAAACATTATATCTAAAAAAAAACTTGAGATATCAAAAAATGTTTCATACAAAAGTTTTATGTTCAACATCTGATGATGATATCTTAAAAAATGTGTTCAAAAAAATTTATTTAAACTTTTAAAAATAATTATTTTGAAAGATATTATTGGGTAAATAGAAGATAATTTGATGACTTTTCTATAAAATATCTCATAGCTTTTGAGCTATAATAAAAAAACATGTTATCTATAAGGGATGATTTCACTCTTTAAAACCATTTTTCTGCTGCAACTGATGTTTTCTAAATTCATCCATTTATGCAACCTATATGTATACAAAGTTTCATTAAAATCAGAATTTTACACACTTCGCGAAGTTCCTTTATGAGCCACACAACTCTACATTGATTTGCTTTGTTGCGCTTTCTTATCATATCTTACATAAGACTTTAATTATTATATACAAATTATGTTTAATATGTTATATGTGAAATCTATATACATCTATATATATAACTATTAAATACATACATGCATACACATCTATGTATAAAATACGGTATATATGTATATGTATATATACACAGTAATAAGCGATAATATTAACTTCATGTACATATATCACACTTATCAAAAACTTAATAAATTAAGTATTGTTTATTACGTTTAAGATAAATATATTATACCAAAAATCATTACATTATCTACTACGTGCTATAGAAAAGTTTGAAATAGTTATTTAAAAAAAAGTTAGAAATACAAAATATTTAGTTTTTCTATTTAAAAAAGAAACTTTGGTAATTATGCACTTTAAGGAACATTGCGTCGACTTTGACTTTGACATATGTTGTCAAGGTCATAACCCTGAATGACCTCCAGAAAGTTTTAGGTGATGGTTCGTTGTTTAAAAAGTTATAAAAAAAAGTTTGGAAAATGGCGCACAACTTTTCACGTTCCCTTGGCGAGGGGGAGGGGGGGGCGGGAGACCATCTCCCCTCCCCCGTGCGTCTCTGAAGCAGGAGGAAGATGGGGCTGAAAGTGGCTTCGCGTGGAAAATCGTAAAATATACTTTAAAGCATTAAATTTCTATTTCATATAGTAAAAAAGAGACATCATTTTTCAAATTTTTTTGTTAATAACTTTTTAATTAACAGCGACCGCCATCTAAAACCTACTCAAAGAAAGTCACTCAGAGTTATGATCTTGACAATATATTATATGTCAAGATCAAAATCATCGGCGCGGTGCCTTAAAATGCATAATTGCCGAAACTTTTTAAAATTCTTGCATTTTTGCAGTATCAGGGGTCTTAAGACATACGGCTCATAAAAAAATTCACAAATAACGGTTAGAAATAAGATGTAAAATAACAAAACTTAATGTGTTTGATTAAGGACAAAGTTTGATTAAGGAATAAGAATGATGAATACATATAGAAAATAATAAATAATAATTCTAATCTTTGCATATATTACAAATGTGATGATGTGAGGTATGTACATGTTTTATATAATGCATTTCTTGAATTTAATGTACTGAATTCAAAATGTGAATTCTGTGTGCTTATGGCATGAATTCCGCCCGCTAAAAATGCCATATATTCCAAACAAGTGGGAAACAAACAAGATATCAAGTTAAAGAATTAAGCTAAGCATTATATTTTGCACCTCTGAACTTAGCACCGACTTTAAGAGAAAAAACTTTTTTAATACGTATTAAAGTAAATTCGGTTTGTACATTTTCTTTTTCGTTTATACCTCAAGAAATTCAAAACTATAAAGAGTTGAAAAAAATGCCAGCACTCCACTTTGAAAAAAAATTTTTGTGCTTTAAATTAAACTCGGTTTGTACCCATTTGTACCATCTTTCTTTTTATTTGTACCTCAAGGGATTCAAAACTACAAAAAAAAATGCCAATATCCCATTTTGAAATATTTGAAGTCTGTAACTGGTACTGTTTCGAAATCGTTTGTATCATCGGTTTTGCGTTTGTATTCTAAGGGGGTGATTGTATCGAATTTTAAAAATAGGGGTGAGAGCCAAAACTTTGCCATTTTTTAAGATATTTGAAATCTGTAAACAGGTGCTGTTTCGGGATATGAAACTTTTCGTTTGTACCCGTTTGTACCACCATCGATTGTATCGAATTTTTAAAATAGTTTCGTATTGTACCAAATGATTCCGTTTACAGCATCCATTTACAGATTTCAAATATCTTAAAAAATGGCAAAGTTTTGGCTCTCACCCCTATTTTTAAAATTCGATACAATCACCCCCTTAGAATACAAACGCAAAACCGATGATACAAACGATTTCGAAACAGTACCAGTTACAGACTTCAAATATTTCAAAATGGGATATTGGCATTTTTTTTTGTAGTTTTGAATCCCTTGAGGTACAAATAAAAAGAAAGATGGTACAAATGGGTACAAACCGAGTTTAATTTAAAGCACAAAAATTTTTTTTTCTTAAAATCGGATGCCAGGTTCACAGAGAGTATTTGCTGTACTTTGTTCTTTATCCCTCTATATATGCGTGTCACCAAATAATCATTAAGTCTTTTGCATTCCTTTTAGTGGATTATTAATTTTATATAGATTATAATACATGGCGCTTGGATAAAATCTAATCATAAGTTAATCAGTTAATGAAAAATCGGACCTTATATATATTGTGAAATGGACAAGAATGGATAAAAACTAGCTAAAAACGTCCAAACGGTGAAAATTTTTTATAAGGGTTCTATAACTATAAAGTAATTTTCCCAACTCTGTGTAATAATATGGAGTGTTGATGACACGCAAATCGTATGCATGTAAGTCCTATATTAAATTAGTAAAACAGCGGAATTCGATCTTCAGGGATTCTAAAATTGATCTGTTTTACTGATCAAATACAATTATTTTTCAAAACGCTATTTTTTAAATCATCTTTATCAGATTTAAAAATTCTTTTCTATAATTAAGGAAATTTTTCCATAATTAAGGGAAAGGAACCTGATTTAAAGGGTCAAAATTTTCAATTTTTTCGGCTTTAATTAATAGTACTTTCAGAAAATATATTCGTAAAGTTTTACAGTGAAATTCGAAATATTTTTGTAGTTACAGCTTGGGAAACAGGTATGCGTTGCGCAAATATATGGCAAAAGTGTTAATTGTGTTTCGTTTTTGCGGTCCCTAGCAAGATATTATTAACCTTGGCAGATGTTTGTTTTAGAAAGATCTTTTAACTAGATGTTTAGGCGAGCAAAACTCGAAATTCAAATCTTTAATTCCACCATCTGGCGCTTTACTTCAAAATACTTAAATTCTGAAAAACTTTAAACGCGTTTTTTTCAAAACTACTTTTTCAAATGTGCAAGATACTCAAAAACTTTTCAATCGATTTCGTAAAGTTTTTTAGTTACATAATTATCAACTATCCTAGGTAAAAATGTTTATTAAAAAATTAGCATAAACAATTATTTTTGCAAATAAATTGAAATTTTTTGGTTAAAATCGTTACTTTTTTTAAAGTTCCACAATTCTTACAATTTGATATCTTTATTATCTTTTTGCTATTTTTTTAATTCTTAAAGGATAAATATTATCTAATTAAAAAAAAATTTTGTTTTTTGTTTCAGGTAAGAATTATAAAAATACAGATTCTGGATTACAACACACCACACACATCAATTTACAACTCCGGTGGCAAAGCATAATAATGATTAATAAATAACTAAGTTACATTATTTTTTTATTAAAAAATTTTATTAAAAAATTATTTTGTATTCTTCAAATACATAACAAATCATCTCTAAAATTTTGGAAAAATCGGCTTCATAAAAAATTCGCAAAAAACAGTTACTTTTCAGCGTTCTAAACCAATAAGTTCTCTCTTAAGAGTATAGATGCAATTTAAATTAGTCGAAAACAAAAAAAAAATCAAAGAAATTTTTCTCTTTCACTAGTTCCTAGTCCAAAATGGCGTCAATTTGTGCTAATACTTGCTTCGTGTGAAAATTCTAAAGCAATTTATACAAATTGTGAAAACAATTTGAATTGTGGATTGCATGAATAAACAATGTTGAGTTCTTAAATTAAGATTTACATGTTTAATATGTAAGATTAAGTCTTCGAAATAAGATTATGTCTTCGAAAATTTGTGCGCATGCAATATTGGTGTAGTAATATATCGATGATACATACTCATAATCATGTGTAAATCAATAAAAGTGATCTCATCGCAGTTTGGTCCTCAATTTAGAATTCTTTTAATACTGCATACATGAAAAGGAAATGCTTTCATATTGACATAATATAATTGAGCATATTAAATCGAAAAGTAACATTAACGAAATATAATTTAGTAAGTATAATTTGTAATCTTAAAACATTAAAGATTGTAATTTACCTGCCATATTGTATTTTGTTAATTTTATATTTTTTATTTAATTTTTGTCCGATTATTACGTAAATACAAAAACATATATTTTCTACATAATGCAATATTAAAATAGATCAAAATGTCTTTTTTATGTATTATTATATGGGAAAGAGCTATTTTCAAATAGATATATCTAAAAAACAAAAAATGATATTGAAACAGAGATACATCTTAAAGCTAAAAATTATTACTTTTGCATGGCATTAATAATATTAAAAAAAAAACTTTTTGCTTGCGAAGCTATATATAATATATCTATTATAAAAACTCTCAAAATTATTTTTTTTATCTCTGTAACGTCATTTTTTTCAAAATTATGATAGATAATTTTGTCCAATAAATTCGTGTTCAACAGACAAAAATATATCAGAAAGAACTATTCATACTTAAAAAATTATGTATGGACAGTGCATAATATGGCTGAAGACTTTAAGTCTTCAAGAATGTATTTTAAATCTTTAAAAATAGATGAAATAATATTCTTACTTCAAGGACGAGTTCGCATCATAGATGTGTTAGTGGCAGGAACTGGATTATTGGAGGAAACTGCGAGAGCATTACGGTCGAGAGTATTGCGTCGTTCTAATTCAGCCAGTTTCTTCCACATCTCATCCCTTTCTCTTTCTTTCCTTTTCTCTCTGTAATTCAGATATATAAAGAAATAATGTGATTAAATTTTTATTCTTCATATAACTTTAAATAAATTGTATTAAACTTTTAATATAGCATTAAAATATTAAAATTTAATTAAAAATTAAAATAGATTAAAGAAAGTTTCGCTTGAATTTGATAAAATATAAAAAATTTAAAAAATTTGGTCTTACTTTTGCCTGTCCAACTTATAGTTGGCAGTAAGTTCATCGAAGAGCTTGCTGTTCATCTCCATAAACGTTTTTAAAACATTGTAAACAAGAGCTATAATCGTCTGATTCCAATGTTCCTTGCTAATTTTGTACAATGCTGGAAACATAATCTTCATTATTACTTGGTTGTTTTCTTCAATTAGAGACATTATATATTCGTTATTCCAAAAGTATAATGCTCTCTCTGCAACCTATAATACAAAATATGTAATTCATTATTTCACAACTTCACGATGAATCCGTCAAAATTAGTGTAAAATGTTGTATAAATTACCTGGAAATGTGGTGAAGACACGCAACGTGCGACTTGCCTGAATAAAGGTTCTTGTATTTTAACAAATTGATTAGGTTCTATAACGTCCAATATTTCTTCAATTTCACCAAGGAACATCACCTCCTTCTGGCTGCACGTTTTAGGCCAGAACTTAAGGAGGCCTCGTACAACTGGTTCTGTTAAAGTCGCGTCTTTTTCCAAAAATTGTACCACACAGTAAGCTAATTGCGCATGATAGAGCGATAAACATTTCACTTTATGTAGTGGCAACAACACCTAAAAAAATTCCCACAAAGATATTTTTTAAATCATTTTTCTTGTTTTGAGTTCTAAATTTCGTCTCTTCTTTTCAGGGCCGCCGCAAGCAGATGTGCAAGTTATGAACTGCATAAAAGCGCATTAATGAAGGAGGCGCCAAATTAAGTTTTAATCCTCCGTTTACAATACTTTTTCTCTTTTCATCCGCAATTTGAATTTTTTATTCAGCTCATTTTTTTACTGTTTCAGACTTTCAAAAAATGTGAAAAATTTCAGAGTTACTTTTCAACATCTTTTACCCAATAAAATCCTTAATTAAATACTAACAGGATATTTTAAGAGAAGGAATCGAACTTCGCTTTCCTCTTTATTTCAGAAAAATTTGAGAATAAAACTATTTGTATCAAAAAATTTAGATTGTAAAAGAAGAATTAAAAATCAATTCTCCATTTCTAATAACATGTGCATCAGGATATCGATTATTTTTCTAGAGCAGAAATGTGAAATGTTTCTCTATTAATCTCAATAGTAAAAATTTTCACTTTTCACATTTTCCGTTCTAAAAAAAAAATAACGTGATCAAATTGCGCCTTATCTAAAGACAAATAATTTAATAAAATTATTTAAAATCATATCTTATTTAAAAGATTAGTAAATAAAAATACGAGAGACGGAAAAAGCTCCTTTGCATAAAGGTACTTTATGTACCAGCAGCGGCCCTGCTTTTCCTAACAATTACACAGGCCTGCAAAAATGAGACTTTGAAAAGTCCAATGAGATGTAGTTTGATCACAATTGATTGACCAAACAAAAATTGACAAAAATTTGACGTGCTGGAAATTTTCGGCTTGCGGCGGTTTCAGCATTCAAAAATTTATCTATAAGAAACATCTAGTTCGGTTCTAAGTAATTTTTTATTCTAAACTAATGTTATTAATGTTGCTGCAACGTTGAAACAACATTGAACAAATTATTATCTGTATTTAAAATACATATTTCAGATATTGAAAAGAAATAAATACTTTTATTAAATAAAAAATTTTTAAACATGCAAAATTCTGAGAAATATATATATTAGTATATTAATTTAATATATATATCTATAGTTATATATAATACATTTTAGAAAGTAAAATTAATTTTATATAATAAAAAAATATCAATGTTATATTTAAAGTTGAATTTCTTCCAATATATTGACAACTAATTTTACA